TTGATAATTCCGTTTTATATGAATTCCATGTTGTACGAGTCACTTAGATTTTACAAATATGTGAGCCGTTCACAGCCCGGCACACGTATTTGTAAAATCTAAGTGACTCGTACAACATGGAATTCATATAAAACGGAATTATCAAACAGTGTTATAGGGGGGTCGACTGTATACAAGTAATTTTAAGGTAGAAAATGACAACTAATAATAATCCTAAATTATAAATTAAAAAACAAAAACAATAAAGAGAAATCCTGCAACGATTTGCGAGACTTTCCCGGTTGTTATGAAATTTTATTTAAAAAAATAACTTTTATATTATTATTATTAATAATAATAATAAATGAAATTGTGTGCGGCGCCACCTGTTACGAGATTTTGTTATAATAATTTCTTCATTAAGTCCGACCCCACTCGAGATAAGACTATTTAAACTGGCACTTTATTATTATATTATTATTATTGTAAAGTAAACAGATGCAACAAAATGTCGTCATTAAAATGTATTATCACGTAATTGTTAAATTTATTTTGAAACAAGAGACAATGGACGGTACGAAGATCGCCTTAACTGTCCTTTTACCACTGCTTATCACAGCAAATATACTACGGGTGATTAAAAACGACTGCATGAAAATCACAGGATTTCGTGCCTGCTTCGAGCATAAAATGTACTCTTGTGTGTATAAATCTTGCTCGAAAGTAACGAATGTCAAAAATGGCACAAATTTAGTACGTGCTATCTTCTGGAAGAAACGATCAAATCGCTGTAAATGGGCATTCCCATTCACAGGACCATGACGATCTTACGACAGTTGAAACCATCTCCTCTTCTAGAACTCTTCCTGAAAGCTGAGTTACTGGAACCAAGAAATCGTTCCACATAAATTTGGTATCGACGTCTTCGCACTATTATATTTAAATCATCGCAATTTGTTATTGAATGCGAATATTTTCGCCTTTTTTATTGACGACTTACATCGTTTTCACGTATATCATCTTACCACTATTTATTGTGTAACCATTTTTCAAAATTTTTTACAAAATGGCAAAGATAAAATTACTCAATGTTGAATATACAGCGTCGGTGGGATTTTAATATCTCGTGTTAGGATAAATATTGAGAAATTTGGCACGGTAGCTTGTGTGTTATTAAGGGGAATTGGGTGCCACGCTGCTTCTCGAGTAGAGTCGGACTTGGATTTGCGATTGTTTTATGAATCTTGTCGCTGCCCTCAAAATTAGGCTTTTATGGTTAATAATAGGAAAAAGTCTTATAACATAACCATATACAATTTTATTACGATTAATAATATAAAAGTTATTTTGAGAATAAAATTTCATAACAGCCGGTAAAGTTAAGCAAATCGTTGCTGGATTTTTTTGTGATTTTTCAATATAAAATTTGGCAATATATTTAGCACACTGTCGAACAGCTCTTGAACATGAAAATTTGAGAGATAAATGTGAAATTTACTTGCTAATAAATAAAATACCATGGTATAAAGATAAAAATCGTAAATTTCCTACAAGAGTAAGGAGTAACATAACTTTAAAATATGTTAGAAAATTTGATAATTCGACGATTATACTTTATTTAATTTTAAAAAATAAGCAAGTATCTAAGCGTGGGACATATTGACACTAGAATATACGTATACACTGTAGGGGATGATCGTCTAATTCGTGAACAGGAGAGAAAACCTAAGTTAAATGTCATCTTCGGAATCTTCTGTCCAATTGACGTTCTCAAAATACTCTCCCTCGAACCTCTCAATTCTTGCCAGCGTCGTACCAACGTATTAAAAGCGTGTTGTAAGCCATTTTTCGACAATATGGGAAGTGTTATCGTTGTGATTGTGCTGTTTTCCTTTCAACGTTCTTTTCAAATACTGAGAGAAAAAAATCGTGAAGTCCTAGTATGGTGAATATTGCAGAATTTCGGCAGTGATCGCTGGTTGCACAATGTTAGCCACAATGGCAACACTTCGCACAGTCGAAGAATAGCTTACAAGACGCTTTTAATGCATGCTGGAAAAAATGTGGAGTTGAAGGAAAGTATTTTGAGGAAAACAAAAACGCCCTGAAGATACCGAAGATGAAATTTAGGGACAACTTTCCTGTGTACGAATTAAAAGCTCACCCCTCGTACGTGTACTTTTATAGAATCCTGGATACGTAGAGTTCCTTTATACAGATTTGCAGTTTGCACAGCTTTCCATATAGTGAAGAAAATTGTCTGATCAAATTAATAACGTTGTATTAGTTACTCGAATCTTACAGTAACACTCCAACCTAATACTTAACACTGCACGTTATGCAAATTACGTTTCAGATTATCAAGTCACTAGCAAACAAGCGAGTAGAAGCTTAGTGATTTTGTACTAGATAATAAGTGTAACTTAACTATTTTTCCAGAACAGGAAGACGAATAATTGGGTATTCTTTCTTTGACCACAGTATTAAGTGTCTGACAGGAAGTTGCAAAATTTCATTAGAACAACTGCATACAGTAAGCAGGTATTTGAATACATACCATGAAACCAGCACTGTACTCGAACCAGGACAGCCTTGTACTTTGTAAACATCTAGATTGGACTTTAAACGGGTCATTTTTGGTACATTCAAGCCGCTTAGCAAAAAATGCGTGCTGGCGAAATACGGACGATAAATGCATACATAAAAAGTCATCGAATTCATTTTAATCTGGTCAAATATTATATTTTACAACCTTTTTGCGATGTCGATCGATTCTGCAAGATGTCATTTCATAACTAGGAACACCGTATTGAGTTTTTGAATTTTATAAACTTCGTAATTAGTATATATCTTTCGCTCCATCTAACTCGAGTGCTGGCACGTGTTTAAATGTATATATCAGAGCGGCTTGTGCGTGTGCCATCACAAGAAAATGGCTGCCGGCCACAGGAGACGGCAATCCTTACACTTGGAGGCAAGAAAAAGATCCTTCGCCTGCTGAACACGAACAGGCGATCATTACATTCGACTGCTTTGTTCGTTTTCTGGCGCCCATTTTCCATTAGGTACAGTACACCCAATCTGCCAGGAAGCACGGGCATTGTCGCTCTGACGGCACCGTATCTCGAAAACAAACTCGTGGACCGCCATTTTCTATTATATTTTTGGATTCCCCGTGGCAATTAATGGAAAACGGCAAAGTTTGATCGGAATCGATCGATCAAATTTTCAGAACGAAGGCAATTCTGTAAGCAACGTACAAGAGAGACTTCAGTTAACGCTCCGCCTCAATAAACGGGAACGTAATTCAAAATATACGAAAATTATCAGAGAATTTTAATGACGAACGAGATTTGGAAAGATTTATTAACGATTTTCTGTACAAATTGGCAGTTAATTGCATTTGGAGAATGTAGAAATCTACAATAAATAAATGCGACCTTGATGTTAACCGAGTTTTACGATGGTTACTTAGCACTTTTTTCTTTAAATTACGAGTTATTTAAAAATGTTAAAAATAACACGTAAGAAAATATTTTTAGTCCGTTAAGTAGCCGTTACGAACGGCAACAAACTTGCAAAAAAAAAAAACGGACGAACCAGAGATTCGCCTGCAATCGCGAACCTTGTAACCATATTTACAACTCGTCGCGCATTGAGCGCGACGTCGATTCGGGATTCACGATTTGCACGTTAACTTCCACGTTCACGTGAAATTCGTTGGGATTATCGAACCTTCGATCCTCGCTTTCTGCGTCGTTAAAGCTCGAATCCTCTACTTTGCCAGCATGGAAGTATGAACCATCTTCCGGTTCGTGCCCACGACGAGTGCCAACGATATCTGGCGATTCCTCGGAATTGACGTGCGTGTCTGTACGTAAAATGGTCGAGCGTTCGTTAACGATAGTACGATGAACTTCGATACGAGTGAACTTGGCCAAGAAATTAACGTCTTCGCCGATTTGCTGGCCATCTAAATCGTCGTTTTCCCAATGGACAAAGGGATTATCTAAGTTTTCCTCCTGCACGCTCCCGCGGTTTCTTCTAAAAGTCATCGGTTCGTCCCCCCGAGGATACCTTTCGTCATTCTTCACGTCCCGACTCTCGTCTCGTATAATTGGAACCTGCGTGAATACGGAGCTGTAATCATAGCGCACAAAACCTGTTTTTTTTTTTTTTTGTTATTAAAACCCATCACCGCATCAATTAATCTCGTTCATAGAACTTATCGTAACGGCAGTAAATTTAAATTATATTTAGAGAGACGGGGGAAGTTATTTTGCAGGGCGTCCATTTTGTACTTTTTATCTAACACCTCACACAACTGGTATTCTGGCCGACGTCTGAATGGCCCTGCGCAGACGTTTCCGCCTGCGGGGACGTCGTCGCAGATGAAGCCATTGGAAGAGCAGCAATAGTCCCACGGCTAACATTCCTACGAGAGCTAGTAAATTCAAAAGATGGAAACGATCCGCGGAATGGGTGCTCACGGTTTGGGTGTTGTCCCACGGGAACTTGGCCAACATCGGATCCACGGGACCTCCGGGCTTGAAAGGCAGAGGGACGTCCAATCCCACAGAAAGCAGCTTTTGAGCTTTGTACAAAGAACTGTAAAGTAAATTCCTGTTTATTATTTACTTAAGCAATTCGTATGCAAAATATCCAGTTAAAATAATATTTATTACTGTAAAAACAATTAAAGTTTAACACTAAAAGACGTCTACTGTGGTATGAAACTCCCCATCCGATCTCTGCGGCCATTGCGCTCCGGTGGCTACAGAATACCGTAAATAATTCACCCTTGCTGTGGGCATCCGCACACAGGTTAAACAGGAAGGTGGCATTATAATTGTATAAGTTATTGATGTATGAAATCTTACACCCTTGACCATGGAGCACTGTATTCTATAATTTACTTGAAGAAAAAAACACCCCAAAAATTAAATAAAAATTTATTGATGTAATTGTTTGTCTTCAAGTTCTGTCCCCATTGGAAATTTTAATGCAGATGCCCATGGTCCTTGCCTATTTTTAATTTAATGTAATATAGTGTTACTCCTCTAATAAATCTTTTAAATAGCAAAAGAATAGCATGTAAAATAAACTCTTGTAATTGTGATACCTACTTACAAAGATAAAAATAAAATTTTATTATGACATACCTTGGTGCAGATTTATTGAGTGGATAGGGAGTGGCCCACTTTAACCTTATGCAAGTAGGCAGAGGACGAGTCTGACCCGTTCCCATGTGATCTTCTAAGACCTTGGAATATCGATACAGGTGATTACCTAAATTTAAGAAAGTTATGTGTAATTTTACTGTGATCGTAAAAACTTTCATAATTTAAATGTTAATAAATAACTAAATTCATCTATTCAAAAACACAATTCTCTAATTTTTTCTTGCACAGCTCTCTAATTTCTATTGGTATATCACTGATCTCAATTATACAAATTAGGCCCTTCAGAAGGGAGTAATTAGTTCATGAAAGAATGATAAAATGAAATCAGGGCCCAAACTACCCACGGGACTTATGAAAATCCTACTGGATTCACAGCACTTTCATGGATCCTAAATCTTCACAATAGTAAAAGAATTCTGCTATTATATAAACCATTATACGGTAATCAAATTGTTAGTGGGCTGCAATTTTTTTAAAATTGCAGACCTATAAATTCCCACTGTCGTCTGTCTTTCCTTAATCTTAGATAAATGAAAGTCAAGACCAGATATGTAAAACTTAGGGGCAGGAGGCCCCAACTTAACTGTAATTCTACCTCTATATTAATGTGTCACTCTTAAAAATTCTTTGATTCTTTCTTTTACGAACATAAAAAATATAGAATAAATCTCGGTTAAGCTATTTGCGTACATCATAAATAATTAAAAATGTATTACCATCCATTCGCTGAGGCAGTTCTTTGAATGATAAAATGTTCTCGGATTTCAAGTCCTTAAACATGGGCGACATGTGATTGGTAGTGGCATATTGCATCAATGCTTCGAGCAGCCAAAAACATTCTATGAACAAACAGAATATTTTTATTTCATTAATATGCAAAGTAATAAAATTCTGTTAAACTATTGATAAATATTGAAAAACAATCAATCAAATATTAAACTATTACGGAAGCCGTAACAAGTAGTGTTGTTACATCCTCCATAAAAATGAATAATTCGAAAATGTTGATAAAATTTTATAAAAATTGCTGAAAATACAGGAGCATCCCTTACGAACAATTTGACCGTAGATCTAAAGCTTAAATTTTGTGCATATTTTGAATTTCTCTTGCTGGTCATGAGGTGGTGTTCAAGTCGGTTTTTACCCAGTAATAAACGAAGCGTGCAATGCCGTAACGTTGTAAATGCCATTTTTCTCTATACACATTTTATTGAAGAATTGTATTCTAAATGCATCTGGCACAAAAAACAAATATTCTGATGATATTGGCACTGTAAGTGGTTGTATTTTGAAGATGAATTTATGTAAAGATTTAATGTTTAAAGTGCCAGAGTGCAAGCCACGACACTTTTGGTGCTTAAAACATTATGGCTTATATTTACATCATTTTGATATTCCAGAGAATTTGTAACCTAGTGAGTTTTTTACTATTTTATTGTAAAATTGAAATGAATTCATTCATTAGAAAAAGTGTTTTTTTTTTTTTACCTCTCCTGAGAAGTTTGTTTTTTGGCGTTTACAACATTATGGCATAATAAATTTTTATTAAATAATTTATGTGGTTTTATTTCTGTCACGTATTGTCATTTTTATGCGCATTCCGACATTCTGCCGCCGCTGGTGAGGCAGCATCAAAGTTGGTAACGTTGGAGTAATGGCATTTGTCACTGTTGTTGGCAATTTTTATAAAATTTTACAATTAATGCTTCAAAAACGCATCTAAAACATAATAGTAAATATAGCAGTGGAGATAAATGCAAGAAATGTGGCTCCATTACCATGGAAATTAAACACAACATTATAAAACTAAGTATGTTAGGTGAAGAAAATTGTTTGAAACACCTGCTACTAAGCAGTTGCAAGCAGATATATGAGCATTATATATTCTATTAAGTATGTTGAAGGGTCGAACACCAACAATATATGGTTATTCTGTGTACAAATGTACTTTCTAGGTTAATTTTCAACTTATAATAAAAACCTTGGAAACCTAAACTGTTCGGTAAGTAGGGGAGTGCCTGTATAGTTGTCTACTAAATTTAATAAATAAATAAGAAAAACTTAAAATGTTATATTCTTCTGGTGCTCTAAGGAATCTAAAATTGATTTTTCATTCAAACTCTTTCCACTTTGGCAATACAAAAGCTTTTACATGCCCGTCACAAATTTGATTGGGACACATGGGTAACCAGATAGCATTAGATTATATATATCTTACTCAAACTGTCCATAAAATTTCCTAAATTTGACCTCCAGTTCTATGGAGCAAACTAATTCCTTTATCATCTTAGTAATCCGCCCATAAATCTCAGGTAAAAATGGTAAAATTTATTTAATTATTTTAAATTGTAGCCAATAAAACTATTGGTTTTCTTCATCGTTTACAAGACTAAAAACTATTTTGTGTGCCGTAATCACGTTACGATGGTGATTTGTGACGACAACAAAATTTATGATAAGTTGTAAATGAGTTTTAATAATTATTTACTGTCTATTGATTAGTTTCACAGCTATTATATTTTTTACTCTCATAGTTAATTACAAAGTTTTCTATAATAAATAATCAAACTGTAATGTTTATATTAATTTTGAAATTATATGTGCAGCCATAACCAATATCTGAACTCTCTAAATTTAAGTTTCTGCTACAACAAATGATATTCTTTACTACCCATCATGATTTACAAATCTAATAATCTTGGTACTAGAAAAAATCTTTACTTTCCAATATCAAAATTCCTGGTATTCAAATCATTTTCAAGAACACATTATTCAGATAACATATTAAGGCTATATTTTAATTAGTGTAACAGTGTCCAAAATTATAGCAACAAACACAAAATACGCATAAAATCAATATCATGAAACTTGAGTACTGAAAATTGCATCATACATAAATCAGCAAAGTATCATCTTATTTTGAAATCCAGAAATTTAATGCAGTTGTCGGAAAAAAATGTAAACAACTTCGATAGAAAAAACGCTCCCTGTGAGAATTAGATCGGATAACAATTTGATGGGAAAGTTTATGATAACAATTAGATGGGAAAGTTGACACACAGGTGTCAAGAATGCACCATTATTGTCAACATTTGACGATCATGTGACTCCTTTCCCACAACAATCGAATAAAAGCTCAAGCCTCCGGAAGCTCAGGGTGATTCAAAGGAAGTTATACTTGTCAATGCATGCATCTCGTCTCCCGGATCTCCATAGAACGGACTCGAACAGACAAAAGGAGAAGATATCGGTAGAAGACAGACCATAGCTTCGAACTTCCATACTTGTTGCCATACTACAGTTCTACGCCAGACTACGATTCCTACGAACCATTCAACGCATACCAATCATTTCCTAATAGAGGTATTTATATTAGAGCATTGTGAACTCTCTCTCACTCCAAGAATAGGTTTAGCAGCTAATAGCTGCCCCTTTGTATATTTATCTCATATTTAATCGCATTTAATCAACTTTGTTAACCTTAGATTTTAATAAATGCTTTGTTTATTTGTTAAATCTGTCTCCTGTCTTTGAAAGGACGCCTGCTGACTTGCTCACTTCCCTTGCCACTCGATAAAAAGCCATCCGAAACGACAGCGTGAGCGGTCCTTGCAGACTGTTGCCAAGTAAGTGGTCAGAAGGGATTAAACCCTTAGCCCACGGTATCTCACATTATCGTGCAAATGAGGCACAGTAGCAGTACACCCATGAAACAAAATGTAATGCACTAAATATACAGTGAAATTCTTTGCTAGGACCAATAACAGCAAGGAAGTGTTCCTTATATATCAGCCATACATCAGAGAATGAATCAAGAATGGAGAGAATTTGACAAGCTGCTAGTCATATGTAAAATGTAGTAATAAAAACTAAGAAATAGAGAAAGATTTCAGATTTCATATGAGTAGTTGTTAACTGTTCTCTACATTGTAATTTGGATGATACATTGTGATAGAGAGACATTACCTTTTCTGTTTTTGCCATGTACTGTACATTTGTGTATGTTGTTTTAATTCTGGACACAACTTTATTCCTTTTATATTTATTTTAGCACTGTATTTAACAAAAAAGTGACTGAAGTAAATGAATACGCCACTATAATGACAATAATTATGAGTAAAACATGGCTGACTTATTGACAAAAAAGGAGCAATTTAGTTAAACTATTGTTGGCCTATACTATTAAACTACACATTAAGTAAATCAATAAACATTACATTGGAGGATTGATCTTCATTAATCTTTAAAAACAATAATATTCTATTTTCTGATAGATAAGTTATCTACAATCTAAAAATCATGAATCAAATATCTTTAGTATTGAATTCATGATGTCTGGAATGCAAAATTCAATAAAATATAATAATAGAGGAAATAAAATTTAAACATACAACAACACAGAATTCTTACCTTTTTGCATATGAGCAGTATCTAAACAATTGGAGTCTCCATATATAGCAATTCTTCCTGCAGTTTCAATTGGTTTGGCTTGATATAATCCTAATATGGCCACGCCGTCCACTTTCTCGGCTTGTCCTTTAAGTACTTCGATACCTGAAGAGAGGGTTTCAAACTATTTTAGCTATTATATTATATTCAGCTTAAAATATAATACATTAAGCATAGAAGATAATGCATTTGTTAAGGAAGCTCCTAAAACATAAAAACAATGCAATTGGCTTAATCTTAGAACAAAAATTCTTTGTAATACTCAAGTGTATATAAACTAATTGACAGCCCATTTCTCTTGTTGACTTTCAATCAAAAGACAGTCTTAACATGATTTAAGAAAAATGGAAATAACTGGAAATAACAAAACAGATGACAAAAGAATGCTCAAATTAATATGATTTATCTATCAGATTAATATATCATATAATCATTGTTAAGAATATCCAGTGTTCCGTCAAGAAATTGCAGATGGTTTATGATATAAAGCAATGAAGACAATCTACCAAGGAGTGTGGCCTTCTGGAAAGACTTCTATGAAGAAATGACCCTTGTTTTATATGGTTTATTATGTGTTTACACGCCGTTCGTGACGCACTTAAGACCCTCAGTAAGACAGGAATACAAACACTTACTCTGAATACTTTATTCAGGGTTCTACTTGGACCGGACGATCACCAGTCGCATACATTAAACAGGGCGGTCCATCTTGCACGTGCCGCTCTCTCTCTGGTGTTGCCAGATCTTTCCGTAACAACCCTTATTCAGGTGTTAAGGTAATTGAAAATCTTTTAAAATAACAACAACACTTCACAATAAATTCAGTCAAACTCTGTTATTATATATCAGTTTATGCAGAGTCTGTGTTAGTTAATGCAAAGTAGATTTGTAGTCCCATGATAAGAATAGGCATTCCAGTGATAAAAAGAGTTCTGTTAACACAAAATATTGGTTATTATGTAATAAGAATGTCGTGCTTTCATGAATTCAGCAATTATATTGTGTCATTTAATGCAAAGTATACTCTTTACATCTTCTTCAAAGTTACATGAACCAGGGGTGTGTTTTTTGAGTTTAGTATTGACCATAATGCTTACATCAATGTTATCGCAGTTGCCACAATGCAGGTGATATGCTATACCAATGACGTTCACTTGAAATTCAAAAATTACACTTTCTCTTATAGTAAAGTTGTTATAGTAACAAATTGCCAATTTTTAAGTCCCTTTAACTTTGTATTAATGAGATTTGATTGTATTATAAATATGAATAAATGTATCATAACATATTAGAATGAAAATCCAACAAACCTTGATTGTTCAGACTTCTCTTTATGACTAATCCATTTTCAGGAAACCTGGCAATTGATGTTCCTGAAGCATAATACACTGAAATATTTAAATATTTTAGTCAATACATTTAGTAACTTTTCTTCGAATTATAAAATATACATTGTAATGGTACGTACTTTCGTGATTTCCTAAAGTGAAATCACCTTCGTAAACTTCATCTCTATTAAAACATACAAAAAAATCAACTAGATAAAGTTTTTCACATTAAATATTAGCAATCTAGATGCTACTAACAAATTTCATTTTTACTTCAGAATTATTTTAACTTTATTAATTATAACTTGCATGCTTGGTTAAAAATATACACAAGGTTATAACCTAGTACATATAGACGTACGTATGACGCGTTTTAAATTATGCAAGGTTGCATTCTAAACATGTTGTTTGTACATTAAATTTCTATAATATAAAAATATTTTGCCATTTAAACTAATAGCAAATGACATAGTTATATTCTGAACATATGAAGAATTAAGAAAAAACAAGAAGCTGGAAATTAAAGAGTCAATTTCAACACATAAAAATAAATGAGTGGTTATACTTAATTTAGTTTAACAGTTTTTGTTTGTAAATACATATCTTATTGTGAGTTATGAATAAAACTTGAATAAGGAAAATTTTATGTTGACTCATCAGTGACCATATGGTTCTTCTTCAAAGCAAATGCGCAAAGTAAATAATTGAATTTCAATACATTCAAAGATATATATTCAGTTGAAAAATTAGAATCTTACCCAAAAGCCATTCCCCAAGGAGCCAATAAATCATTTAATGCTGGTATATTAGCACCACCAGTGTCTGGCATCCACCATTGCCTAAAAAAAATATATACTATATTACTGATATAAATATAGACCAAAAATCCAATCATTTAGATTTACAATTAATTAATCCAAGCTCTAATTATATCAGAAATTATTTCCTCTAACATAATATAATGTTTGAAAATCTTAAAGAAAACTAACCTAGTGTTTTCATCATAAAACTTCACTTTTCTCATGACTGAAACATTGTACCAATCAGCAAATACTATCAATGACAAACCAGAATCAATATCTCTCTTTAACTTTGCTACTTCTTCCGGAAAATATTCTTCTTCGCTATCGACAATAAGCAAGACTCCTAAAAATATAAATTAAATATAGTTAAGAAATAAAATATTTACACTTTTTAAAGAATTAAAAAAATTTTTTATTATTATTTGTTAAATTGCATAATCTTTGGCTTGTGTACAAGTGTCTAAAACATAAGGACAAACACAATTTCTAGTGGCGACGACTAGAAAAACAATGCCCGAATTATTTGGTGACAAGCCTGCCATGACGTCGCAAGTACTGGATTATAGTCTGAAGTGGACAGATCTCTGCCCAGGTATTGGTAAGTAGTTGCGATCCACCTACGTTACTTTTTATTGCTTTAATTTGTAAAACCCTACAAATTGTTGTATATTAACCTGTGTTATATGTCGAGTAACGCAGTTCTCGCCGCATTTGTCTACAGTTCTCTCTACTCGCGTAAAAATGCCAGTTCATCCTTAAGTTATGGACATGTGGGTACTTGAGTAAATAAATTCTCTGTTATTTTATTTTATGAAAACTAAATGAGATAACAACAAATCAGAACCTTCTTCCAGAAACTTACTATAAATACCACAACCGATCTTTTGGCCGAATCACAGCCAGATCTGTTAAAGCTTTTTTTTTGGGGCTGAACTTAATTTTAATATGTTTTGTTAAGGAACATTTATATACAGAAAGTTAAATACAGTATTTTGAAAAGAAGTACAGAATATTACTTATCGGTGTTAAGTTTTTGTTTGCTTTGTTTTCTCTTTTACATTTACAATTACAATAAAAGTAGAATTTAGTGTATGTAAGATTGGAAAATTTATTAAACTCAACTGTAGCCAAATGTGAGGCATAAGTTTTGACTAAAAGTAAAATAAAAATGTGTAAGCAAATAAATTAGTAAATTAGCTGAACTATTTACCATATTTACCATTGATTTTTTTTAATTTTAAATGTTTTCTGCTAAATTCATTCTATAATAATTTAGGAGAAAGATTTTTTTTCTTTAATAACATCTAAATAGCAGACATTTACCGTATTTACTTGGGTATAAGATGATCTCACATATAGGATGAGATGTGACTTTAGAGATCAAATTAAAGAAAATTAGATTTATTAATACAGTTCTAATTTTATTTCGTTTAATCACAAAATACTATCAAATGAACGTATTAAGGCAAGCAATCAAGTTTGCCTTAACACTTACCGTGCTATGACCATAAAATTATGTTTGATGAACGTGAATTACGTGATGAATGGAAAACAAAACCAAAACATTTTATTGCACGTGACCGGAAAAAGTTTACTTTTAAAGATTCAGAATGTGCTAATAATCGTTAAAAATAACAATTTAACTAATCTAAAATAACTATATTTATGATCATTGCTAAGTGACCTGTATTTCATTAATGTTTTTACAAATAACGAGAAACTATTTTTTGCGAACAAATGAGATGCAACGTGGTTTTTAATTGATGGATGTAGGATTAAACCAATAAACAAAAGNGATGTTATTTATATATATATACCTCGCCGGGTGTTACGTTAGCTGGCTGAGTGCCATTGAGGGTCGTGGGCGATGAAGTCGCCCCCAGTCAGTGATGTATTTAACCAAGTAAGGTTATATCTAATCTATTATATATACTTCTGGAAGCGAAGGCTTGCTCGGGGTCCGGGTGGCGTAACTGGTAGCGCACCGCACGGTAAGCGGAGGTTGCGGGTTCGAGCCCCGTCCCGGGCCAGTTCTTTTATTCCAGAAGGTTCTAAATTTAATTTAATTTAATTAATTATATTTATTTAATTATTAATTTAGTTACGAGATGGCGCCTAACGCTTACCTCTTAAGACAAATTGCTTTGGTTCTAATCATTTTAAGTAGCCATATTATAGCCCGTTATTCAGGCGATCGTTTGGAAGTTTTATATGTATACCAATCGGGCTTTATGTTGATGTTATTTATATATATATACCTCGCCGGGTGTTACGTTAGCTGGCTGAGTGCCATTGAGGGTCGTGGGCGATGAAGTCGCCCCCAGTCAGTGATGTATTTAACCAAGTAAGGTTATATCTAATCTATTATATATACTTCTGGAAGCGAAGGCTTGCTCGGGGTCCGGGTGGCGTAACTGGTAGCGCACCGCACGGTAAGCGGAGGTTGCGGGTTCGAGCCCCGTCCCGGGCCAGTTCTTTTATTCCAGAAGGTTCTAAATTTAATTTAATTTAATTAATTATATTTATTTAATTATTAATTTAGTTACGAGATGGCGCCTAACGCTTACCTCTTAAGACAAATTGCTTTGGTTCTAATCATTTTAAGTAGCCATATTATAGCCCGTTATTCAGGCGATCGTTTGGAAGTTTTATATGTAAACTGGTTTTATCAGTTTACAAAATGTTTTATTTATGATGTAGCTTAAAAATATAGTTTTTTTAATTATTTAAAAAGTTTTATAATATATTTTCATACCATTTTCAACAATCTAATGCCTTTTGTATTTATATTCTAATACAAGATATAAACTGTCGAGAATAATGAGAGAAGGAACAAAACTTGTTGGATTTTTGGCAAAACTGATAACTTTTCACATTAATTATTGGTTAAAAAACTCATTATTTGTAAGTAGTTAAATTATTATACCTTCTTGGAGGAGTGGGTATAATTTTTACCCTTACGGGCAGTTTTATTGATGATTGATGCGATTCCACTTCGCCATCCTACAAAATAAAAATGATAAATGAGACAAAAAAATCTTAATGATGCTATTAAATAATATGTTTAAATCCACTATATTCTTGAATTATTAAAATTAAAAGTTTTATTAAATAAAAATAATTTAAAATTCGAAATTATGTACTGGAACCCCTGCATATATCGAATAGTCTGTAAAGAAAACAAACGTTTTTAGTGGACTTAAGCCACCATAATTTATGGCTGCCTTTCTAACATTCAGATTCATTTGTCTTCTTTACAAACTATTCAATGTAAGCTCGAGTTTGAATACATAATTTTGGTTTACAGTTTATCCAGTTATAATTATGGCATTAAACGTGAAAGTAATTTATCTTATTAATTCACAATATGCTAATATATTCATAGGTTGCCTAGTGGCACATTACTTCTTGCCACCTACATTTGGTCAGCCATGCCATTGGAAAACAAAATCAACAAGGCAAATTCCTGATTTTCAAATATTAACAAAAATTCCTAGTGTTTTTCTTCATTTTCCTCAACATTCTAGATGCTTAGGGACCACAAATTTAATAATATACTTGGAGTTTAATTTTTAAAAATAAATTTATGGACAAAAAGACATATTATGAATGTAGTAAAATCACAACTTTTTAAGAAAACAATAGTCAAAATACTATTTTTAAAATTTTTCTTACCTGAGGTGGCGATTCTACCGTTAACGATATATGACCTTGAGCAATACCTTCCCAGTGAATGGCCGATTCCACCGCCGAAAGATGTACCGCCAAATACCCGGACCAAGGCCATAACACTTCCGAGTAACTAAATGCAATTTTTAAATAGTGTCCGAACTGAGGCGTGTAAGGATGCCATAATGGCTGCAAACATATAATTTCAGATTTTACAATAAAAAATAATGTATTAAGTAAATATTTTTTAGTAAATTTTAATTATCCATAAATGTTTTAGTAGTATTTAATTATTTGGAATAATCAGATTTGTAAATTAAAAATCCGACAAGGGATCTTGCTCGACTTTCCTGGCACCCAAACAGCAGATAAAGGAGTCTGTTACGAAGTTTAACTGCATTTATTTGTTAAATATGTTCAATATACGAGGTCTGTTCAAAAAGTTCCCAAACTTTATTTATTACAAAAAAAAAAACATACTTCACTTACAATTTATTGGTCAGAGTCCCCTTCAAAGTAGTCTCCTCCCCAACATATACACTTATCCCAATGGTGTTTCCACTTTTTGAAACAGTCCTGGAACGCTTCTTCTGGAATGCTCATAAGTTCCTCCATCAAATTTTTCTCTATCTCTGGAATGGTGGCAAATCTTTTTCCTTTCAGAGGGTTTTTTAGTTTGGGGAACAGGAAAAAGTCACATGGGACCCAGTCAGGTAAGTAGGATGGGTGGGGAAGCACAGTGGTCTTGTTTTTGGCCAAAAACTCACGAGATCTGAGGGATAAATAAGCCAGCGCATTGTCGTGGTGAAAAAACCATTTGCCGACAGCCTGAACTTTGGAAGAGTGCTCCAAAGTTCAGGACGTTTTTGCCTGATTCTGTCTCTGTCATCAGTCGACACTGATGGTTGTCCAGAATGCTCATTGTCTTCCACTGATTGCCGTCCCTTTTTGAGCTGGGTAAACCATTCATAACACGCGGTACATTTTATAGCATCCTCACCATAAGTCTTGGTAATCTACTCAAAAGTTTCCATAAAGGATTTCCCAAGTTTCACACAGAATTTCACAGAACAACACTGCTCCTTCAAAGAGCTCATTTCCATGGATCCGATTTTTTGCCAAACCCAACAAACACCCCTTCACATAAACGGTCATAACTAATTACCAAAACAAGATATCAACAAACGGGTTGAAGGAGGTTACTCGGGAGGTTTTTGCGGACACAATGCCTCCAAGTGGATTAAAAAATAACCAACTGGAGGTGTGCTGTTCAAAAAGTTTCCGAACTTTTTGAATGGGCCTCATAAATGACTGTTAAATCTTAACAACTTACAATGTAACAAAGTTATTTACATTGAAACTATTTAACAACTGTTCACGAAACACATAAATGTTCGTAACTTTTAATTCTAATTTCAATTCAAACTGCTTTTCTAGGAGTAAAAGTGTGGTTTATTTGTATATGGAAATGCAAAACACAGGCAATCTGTCAAGGGGGGATGCATGCCTCTTGATAGGATTTTCTATGGGAAACTGTTCGTATTTAGGTATTATTTTTTATTTAAAAGTTCTTAATTTGTTTCAAAATTTAAATTATCATTAAAATAATCTACATTTCAATGAAAGACCTTAATAAAGTAAGGATAAAATAAAACATTTTACCTTTCCAATTATTTTTCCTGATACTCCCATTCCATTTAAAATAGTTACCTGTAAAAATAGAATAAATGTATAATCTAAAGTTAACAGTTCTCTATGTTAAACATCATTAAAACTATGGTATTCTTTTTTTTAAAAAATTTATTTTATACAGTTAAATATACACATTATCCTATTAAAATCATATCTAGATCAGCGTGCATGCTGTACTTGAGGAATCAGCATACATTTAGCCGTCCAGCAACACTGTGTAACCCAATTGACCTCCTCTGTGATATATATAAATACATTTATAGTTATTATACTAACACATACCTGCAATTTGAAGCTTTGCCATTGGTATTTCATGATAATCTCCATATTATTTTATTATTTTTCTTTACAAAATATCGTCATCTAATACATTACTTACAATTAAAATAATTTGAAACAAATTAGCATTAATAAACTTATAAAAATAAACAGATGGACAATTATTTATGTACCGTTTTGTTCTGTAAGCATTGAGTGTCTTCTTTCATTCAAACACTTCATGTCAGTAAGTGAATAAATCGCGTACAAAGCTAAACAATTGCCAGATTAATCGGGATACTTTATCGCTACCGTTAATAATTAAATACTGAACAATGGTTCTAGAGGTAGGTACAAAATTACTCATTATTTAATTATTAATAGTAGTGGTAAAGTAGCTCAAATAATACGGCAATTGCTCGGCTTGTGAATAAATCATTAAAGCTGATGTATGTATTATTATAATACTATTTGTATATATAAGAACATCCCGGTTATTGCAATTAATGCATTCCAAAAATCCTCACCAGTGGCCGACCAGGTAAAATCGCCGAATACTGGTACTAGGTCATGGGTTTGGGGCTAGCCACGGAGCAATTTGCATTTTATTCGCACTAGTAACACCTAAATAAAAGCCAGTTTCCCATAAAAGACCTCCTGGGAGGCATTCCTCTCGGCAGATCACTCGCATTGCACTACCTTAATTGAATAAAACCAAGCCAAACTGTTTCAAAAATTTATGCAGTAATCGAATCTGTATTAATCAAGGATCTATTAAATAGGAAAAATGAT